TTATGCCAGCCAAGCTCTGAGCCGCATGGGGGCGAAGTGGTCGGGGAAGCCATCCGGAGTGTTCACCTCGAAAGAGCAAACCATGTCTGTCTATATACATGTATAAATCGTATATGCATAAGTATATACAACTACCGATCGTGTACATAAATGTGTATAGCTATGTAGAGGTGTATGTGGGTATCCATATGTGTACGTACATGCAAATTTTTCATCTGTGAAATTGTGTGCACGAACATGTAGATGTATATGTCAATGTAGATGTGTATATGTATATACCCACACACACACACACTCCCAGCACTCCGTCTCAATTGCTTGTTGACCTCCTCCTCCTCATCCCTTGAATCATTTACCCTCCCCTTTATCATCGTCTGTATCCTCTTCCTCACCCTCATAGTACACTTCTTCTTATCATTTACGCATACTCCTCCCCTCTATTCTCCTAAGCCTTCTCCTTCTCCTCGGACATCACCTCCTCTTCCACCTTCGTGTTCCATTTCTCGTATCGTTCTGTAGCCTTACTCTCCTCGGTTCACCTCATCCTTCTTTCTCCTCCTCCTTCTCCGCTCACCCTCAGCGTCCTCCTCCCCTCCCCATCCCACGTCAAATGCTGATGCCCCTCCTTCGCTCTCTTGTCTTCTCATCCCTCTCCGCTCGGCCTCAGCGTCCTCCTCCCTTCCCCATGCCATATTGAAGAGAAGGGAGCGTGGGAGAGAACAGAGAACTGTCAGAGAGGGGTGCGGGGAGGAAGATCGAGGAGAGAGGAACGACGGACGTAAGGAACGACGACGATGATACAGATGATGCTGATTCTGATCGATGGTGATGATGGTGGTGATGAAGCTGCTGCTGATGATGACCATCATGATCATGACAAGGATGATGCTGCTGATGATGATGATGACGATGATGATGAACATGATGATAATCATCATCATAATGATCATGGTGATGATCATCATCATGATGATCATCATGGTGATGCTTTCGACGACGACGTTGATAATGACGATGATGCTAATCATTTGCAATGACGATCATGTCAAAACACCAGGTTTGGCAATGTCAGAGCCTTAAAACATGTGTTTTCACAAGGAAAATTTGCCGGATGGTGCCACAACCTATAAAAACACATGTTTTGTGAGCTCTGGCCTCCCCAAACCTTGGGTTTTGATATGGAAACGTGGTCGGATGGTGCCAAAACATTTACAAACACTGGTGTTTTGAGCTCTGGCATCTCCAAACCTTGTCTTCATAAGAAAAATTGATTTGGTGGTCCCAAAACGTGTAAAAATACAGTGGTGTTGCATGGGATGCCACAAAACACTGCTAGGTGTTGTCTCTCTTTTTTTTGTGTTCCATGGTGTTGTCGTGTTTGCTTTTTTTTGCCCCACGAATTGAGGCAGACCAATCTCGGCCGACGGAGTCCCGGCATTTTTGTGAGGCCAGAAAAAAACAAAAACAAAGAAAAAGAAAAAACCTGGCAGTGCTTCGTGACATGTGAGACAAAACACTGGTAGTGTTTCGTGACATCCAATGCAAACAAACAGATACACACACACGCACACATATATATATATATACAGGCACCAGACACATCTTGCCTGTGAAAACAAACATTGTGCAGGTTCTGACATGGCCAAACCTTGTGTTCTGTAAAGGAAAATTGGTTCTGGATATCAAAAACCTTTATGATTACATGTTGGCGTGGCCTTACAATGGGATTCCCTTTGTGGCCAATGTACAAATTGATGTCTAGCGTGTGGATTATGAGAATAGAATATTTCTGATTTGTGTTACAATAGGTTGCGATTTACAAATTGATTCCTACTGTATGGATTACACATGAAATCCTTCTGTGTGACGTTACCATAGGATTCCATGTGTTGGCGATTTACAAGTCGACTTCTATTTGAAGGGTTACACTTAGCAACCTTTTATACGCGTTACAATAGGATCCCTTTGGTTTGCGATACATTCGGTGTGCGATACAATCGGACACACATACATGTGGAAAGACAGAGAAGAACAACAGCAGGAAGCTACGGAGACAGAGTGCTAGGGGGGCATTTCCATATATATACATATATATAGACATACATACATACATCTACATATGTATATATATATATATATATATGAACATGTACGTGTCGGTGTATACTTAAAAGTTGGTGCGATTCGAACGGGTACTCTTCTTAGAAGAGCTGACGTGCTGACAGATAGCTTTTCCTGGGGGGTCCCACAGCTTGAGTCGATGTCTGTGTTAGGCATGTGGGCTCGACAAGAGCTCGCAGACAGGGAGGGACAACGATGCCATTGCAATAGAGGCTCGAAAGGATGGCTTTCTATAGAGAGCGAGAGAGAGAGAGAGAGAGCGAGAGCAAGAGAGCGATGGCGGGCTCCTCTCCAACGCCAGCCCAGAGGAGCGGGGAGGTGTCGGCGCGGGCCACCTGGGCCTGGCGCGCCAGGCTGAACCTCCTCGCCTTGGTGCTGGTGGCGGCATGGCTGGCCTACCGCTCGGAAACACGGCGATCGCGGCTGGAGTGGACCGACGTCTCGTTCAATGCCGCCGTTTTGCTGGCCTTGCGGAATGGCCTGCTCGGCTGGGTGCTGGCGCTGACCGGAGGCGGCGGGGACGACGAAGCGTCCGAGGTCAAGGCCTCGCAGGCCGAGCTCGCGGCGCTGCGGCTGGCCACGGCCACGGGGGACGACGGCGGCGGAGGCGGCGACGGGACCGTGCTCGGCTGGGACACGCCCGTCGGCCCCCCTCCTGAGGGGATCGCTCCGCCACCCGCTGGAGCGCCGCTCGACCTTGCGGGCCTTGGCGGAGGAGTGCATGCCCTCGCAGGCGCGGCGGCGCTGGCGGACCTGGCCCAGTGGCGCAGAGGCGCCGCTGGGGCGCCCACCTAGGCCAGCCCACCCGCGGCGCTGCAGGAGCGGGGGTGTCGCGTACGCGCTCTTGCAGGACGGCAGGCCGACGCGGGCCTGTGCGGCTCAGGTGAAGGCGCTGCTGACGGGCTACGCGGCTGCGGCACGGAGCGATCCTCAGTGGGCCATCTGCTTTGGAACGCCGTGGCGGACCTGGACGAGAACGGGGTGCTGGCGCCCGCGGTGCGGGCCACCCTCAGCGGGCACGGCTACTCGAGCCGAGGGACGCTGTCGGCGCCGCGTCAGTGGGAGCTCACCGCCGCGCCAGAGGCGATGGCCTCCGCGCCGCTCCAGCATGGCGGTGGAGGGGGCTTCGGCGCGGCACAGCCCCGAAGCAGGCCAACGCGTGTGGCAGCACCGACATGCGCTGGGGGGCCTCGCTCCCTCCCGACATGCAGCGGGCTGGGCCAGAGATCTAACGCGCCATGCGCGCCGAAGGCAGCAGCGGAGCTCGCGACTGGCTGAGCTTGAGGTTCACGGGGAGTCGGACGAGTGCCACCTGGACCAAACTGTGGACGCTGGCGACGGGCGTCGACGTCAGGCTGCAGAGCTGCAAGGACGACGACGAGCTGATGCGCGCGCTCGGCACAGACGACCTGGTCGAGCTGTCCCTCAGGATGCTCACCGGGTACATCTACGAGGCGAGAAGCGGCGACAAGATGGGGGCGGCGCATATGCTTGGGGTCGCCCCGTCAGGAGGACAGACGAACATCGCCCCACATGGCTCGTGCAGCTGGCCACGAGTCACAGCAAACTGGAGCACCAGAGGAAGGAACGTGCAAATGCAGAGCTGCCCGCAACCGCGACGCCAAGGGCCTCGGCAAGGGCAAAGGCAAGTCGGACAAGAAAGAACTAGGCGTAGGAGTTGGCGGCGGCGCGGCCGCCGCGGGCCAGTGACTAAGCCCGCCTGCGCGTCGGGGAGGGCCTGCACCCCGCACGCGACAAGAGAAGCAGCAGGTTTGGGCTCCCGTGGAGCACCCAAGCAAGGCAACTATGAAGGAGCTGATGGAGGTCACGACTATCTCCGGCAAGTTCTTGCCAGTGAGCTTGATCCGGCGACCTCGGGTTCCAGGCGCCAAGGCAGCACGTTCGAGCCGTCTACGCCACAGGTACCGTTCCAAGCTGCAGGTTTGGGAGTAGGCCAACCAGTACCTCCGTAGGGCGAACTCGATGTACGGAGGCGACTGTCGGGAACTCGCACGCCGCCCTTTATTGGACCTCTTAAGTCGACGACTTGGGCGGCGATCGAGCGCTGGTATCGCGCGGCTTTCCGCGAGGCACAGCGCCTGTGTCAGGCGCGTCGGGATTTCGATCCGACTGGCGTCCAGGCTGTGCTTGCAGTGGCAAGGCCGCCAGCGGTGGAAGAGTACGGACAGGGCAAGAAGTCCACACCTCACGTGCACATTAAGGCATGGGCCGTGGACGAGCCAGTGAGCGACAGGAAGGTCATGATGCTGGAGGCCCTCGAACCAGAGGAGGTTGCCCTCTACTGCGAGGAGCAGAAAGTCATGGCCAGCCCCAGCCACTGCAACCAGGTGATGTTCAAGGAGCTGGAAAACCAATACGGATGTCTTAGAGGAGAATACCGCGAATACGTGGCATACCTGACCAGGCCCGACCTGGTCAAAGGCGTGCGGAGGCTCACGAAGGAGAGCGAGGTCAGAGCCGTGGCAGGGTTCACAGTGGTCCCAAGGCGTTCGGGCGACAAGCAGAGGAAGATCTTGATGACCTGTGCCTTCAGCTACCTAACGCGAGAGGTGCAGGAGCGAACTACCTGACCGTGCAGGTGCGGGAGCTACCTGACGCGGGAGGTGCTGAAGGTCGAGCCAGCGCCAGCCCTCGGGGCGGGCGGTTCCCCCCTCCGGACATGTTCCCTTCTCCGGTCCGGGATGTAGACCCGGGCTCCCGCGCCAGCACTCGGGGCTGGCAGCTTCCTTCTCTAGCTTGGGGCGTGGGCTCCACCCACGGGCACACAGGGTGTTCCTCCTCCTGACCACGGTGGTAGTCGAGGGACCCCTCCTGACCACAGTGGTGGTCGAGGACTCCTCCCTGACCTCCGCCGACTCACTGTCGGCCGTAGTTCCGCTCCGCCGAATCACGTCGATCGTAGTCCTGCTCCTGGACACCGTCGCAATCATGCTCCGCCGACTCGCGTCGGTCGTAGCCCTGCTCCGCCGACCCACGCCGGTCGTAGTCTTGCTCCGCCGACTCACGTCGGTCGTAGTCCTGCTCCTTGACGCCGTCGTAGTCCTGCACATTTATGATCGATGGCTCCATGACCACAGAGGTGGTCGAGGGCCTCTTCCGGACCACGGTGGCGGTCGATGGCCCCCTCCTGACCACGGTGGTGATTGATGGCCCAGCCGTGACCATGGTGGCGGTCGATGGACCTCTCCTCTGAGTGAACAGGCCGTCCAGGTCCACGTCCGACTCTCAAGGGTGGGTAGCCTCCCCCTCCAGCGGGCCTTCAAATTCGGCGTCCTCCTCGGCCTTCAGGTCCAGTGGGAAGGGGCTTCCTGTGAGCACCCATCCCCCGCCGATCGCAGTCTCCGCCTGGCCCATTGGGCTCAGCTTCCGCTCCGGGCGACCACGCCGAAGCCATGCTCAGCTGGGGGGCTTCCCGTTGGCACCAATCCCCGCCGATCGCGGTCTCCGCCTGGCCCCACGGGCTCCGGCCCCACTCCAGGCGACCACGCCAAAGCCAGGGTGGCGGGCAAATGCGGCGTGTCCACACTCCAGCGCCAGGGTGGTGGTAAGGGCGGCCTCGGGTCCGCACTCCAGCGCCAGGACGGCGGTAAGCGCGGCCTCCTGTCCACGTGGAGGTGGCGGCGGGAACGGCGCCGTCCAAACCCCAGCCCAATCCCAGCCTCCCCTTACCAAGGTGGGACGCCCTATGGCGCACCAGGAATCCTGAGGGTCATCCGCCTCAGTCTCAGTATCCGTTTCCCTAGGCTCCGAGGCGGCAAAACCATCGGATGGTCCGTTGGGACGCTGCTCCAAGAAAGCGAGCACCAGGGCGACTGCAGGCACGAAAGCGGCCACCAGCAACGTGACCATCGTGCACCGGCTCCCTTCTCCATTCCCCGTCGCATGCGCGCGGGGCGAGTACAGGAGCGGAGCCCCTCCGCAAAATGCCAACCCGAGCCTGAGCGGCTGCGGGAAGAGAAAGAAGGAGAGGAAAAGGACACGCGTCTGCTCATACAGTTCAAGAAAAGCCAAGAACAAGACAACATGTGTGTACAGATGTGTGTACGTCCCTCTCTCGCTCTCTCTCTCTCTCTCTCTCTCTCTTTTTCTCTCTCTCTCTCTCTCTCTCTATTTCTCTATCTATATATGTCTCTCTCTCTCTCTCTGTGTTCATTTCTCTCGACATTTAGGTATATGCAAATACCTATACATATGTTGTGTCTATCTCTCTCTCTCTCTATCTCCTGATCTCTCTCGACTCATGCATATATATGTATATATGTGTGTGTTTGCCTATATCACTACCCTCGATATATCTCACAAGATCGTTTCCTCACTACCTATATACATATCTATACATTGAGATGTCCCTCCCGCTCTCTATGTCTCTCTCTCTTTCTCTTTCTCCCTCTCTCTCTCTCTAGCCCTCTCTGAGTCTTTCTGTCGTAGTTATATGTATGTGAAAGCACGTATGCAGGTTCAAAGATGAGTATACACATACATACATACATACATACATACATACAGACAGACATACAGACATACAGACATAAGACACACATATAGACATACATACATGCATGCATGCATGCATGCATACGTACATACGTATGTCTCCTCTCTCTCATTATCCCTCCCTCTCTTTATCTATCACTCTGTCTCTCACTCTCTCTCGCTCGTTGTCTCCGTCTCGCTCTCTCTCTCTCTCTCTCTCTTTCCCCGTATATTGCAGATGTGGAGTGTGTAGCCCTGTCTGCACCCATCTGTACACATATATATATATGTGTGTATGTATGTATATGTGTGTGTGTCTCCTTATAGCCGCTGATCCTCCTCCTCCTCCTGCACCTCCAACTCCGCCGCCTCCTCATCTCCTCCGCTCTCTCCACGTCCCACTTCTGCCTCTCAGAAGAGGGGCAAGAGAAGGAGAAGTACGGGCAGCTTCAGATTGAGAGCGGCTAATGAGTTCAACTGCTAGTGGTGCTGCTGCTGATGCTGCCGCATCTGGTGCAGCTCCTCCTCGTACTCCTCCTCCCCCTCCTCCTTCTCCTCCTGCTCTGCATCCTCCTCCTCCTCCACCTCCTCATCCTCCTCCTGTTCCTCCTCATCGTCATCATCATCAACATAATCGTCATCATCATCACCATCATCATCATCATCATCATCATCATCATCAGCATCATCAGCATCAGCATCAGCATCAGCATCATCATCATCATCATCATCATCATCCTCAATAGCATCAGCATCGGCATCAGCGTCAGCACCAGAATCCGCATCAGCATCAGCATCAGCATCTTCGTCATCGTAATCATACTCAGCATCATCATCATCATCATCATCATCAGCATCATCATCATCATCGTCAGCATCATCATCATCATCATCATCAGCATCATCATCATCATCGCCATGCTAGTAAGCAGACGTGCCATTACCCTCATCAGCATTATACTCGGCATCATCAGCAGCAGCATCAGCACCATCAGCATCATCATCAGAAGCAGCAACAGCCGCAGAACCATTATCATCATCATCAGCAGCATCATCATCAACAGCATCGCCATCAGTATCAGCATCAGTGCCACCAACATCATCATCGACATCATCAGCACCACCAGCACCAGCATCATCAGCATCATCAACATCCGCGACAACATCATCACCGTCATCAGTATCATCAGCCGCATCAGCAGCATCGCCAATCATCAGCATCATCAGTATCATCATCAGCATCATCATCAGCATCTTCATCATCATGATCAGCAGCATCATCAGCAGCATCATCAACATATGCATCATCATTACCACCATGAACATCATCATCAGCATCATCACCAGCAACATCATCAGCATCAGCATCAGTATCGCCATCCTCCCCTTCATTATCATCATCAGCATCATCATAACCATCATCGTCATCATCATCATCATAGTAATCACACTCAGCATTATCAGCAGCATCATCCGCATCATCATTATCATCATCATCGTCTTCCTCATCATCAGCATCATCACAGTCAGCATCAGCATCATCATCCTCATCATCGTCGTAACCATCGCATCTACCCCCAGCGTCATAATCAGCATTATCATCATCATAATCAGCATCATCATCGCCATCACCATTACCAGCATCAGCATAGTCATCATGAACATCATCATCAGCCGCATCATCAGCAGCATCATCAGAATCAGCAGCTTCATCATAACCATCATCAGCATAGTCATCATGATCATCGTCATCACCATCATTATGTTCATAATCGTCATCATCATCCTCTCGTTCGTCATCATCGTCAGCATCATCATCCTCAGCATCATCGTCGTCATGATCAGCATCAACATCAGCATCAACATCATCATCATCATCATCATCATCATCATCATCATCATCATCATCATCGTCGTCATGATCATCCGCATCCTCATCATCCTCCCCATCATCGGCATCATCATTATCATCATCAACAACATCCTCATCAGCAGCCTCATCATCCTCATTATCATTAGCATCGTCCTACTCACCATCATCATCATCATCCGCATCAACAGTATCAATAGCATCATCATCACCACCATCATCATCAGCATCATCATCATCTTCATCATCATCATCATCATCAGCATCATCATCATCAGAATCCTCATCGGGACAGTTCTTCTCATCCAACCATTCCTTCCTCATGTGCCCCAACCCCTTGCCTCTCAGCATGCACCTCTCTTTCTCCTCCTCGCCCTTGCGGCCAGATGGGTTGGCATGCCCCAACTGTACGCCCAGCTCGTCCACCAGTGAGGACGCCCCACTCTGGTGAGTCGCTGTGAGGATTGTGAGGGCAAGAAAGTGCTCCGCTGCCAGCGTTCGGATCTGGAGAAGCCGCCGGGCTCCAAGGGCCGCTCACGGCGGTCATGCCCTCCTGGGGATACCAGCTACAGCCACCCCTTTTGATCCGCATGCAACTGCACCATACTACGGTCGGGAATCCCACCAGCCCTCTGGGCTAGGGTGGTTCAGGGAGTTTCCAATTCCACCCCCCTTCTCACTCGGGAAGGGGTTACCCCTCCCCTCTATCTATGGACAGGGCGCCCCGCGAGCGGTCCGAGCATCCAAGATGGCCCAAGATGGTTCCAAGAGAGCCCCAGAGATATCAAGACGACCTCTAAAATGGTTTAAGATATTCCAAGATCGCTCGCGATAGTTTCCAACATAATCCAAGCGTTCCCGCAATCGTTCCAACCCAGTTCCACGTGGCCACGGAGCCTTCCGAGTATGCCCACAAGAGGCCAACATCCGTTCAAAACCTGAGAAACATGAATACTTGTTGCCTTCTCGCCTTCTCGTTTCCGATGGGCTCTTGACGCCTGAAGATAGCTCCAAGAGGGCCCAGGAAAGCCGCAAGAAGGGCCCAAGATGGCCCCAAGACGGCCCCATGAACGCCCAGCAGCGTTCCAAAAACGCCAAATTAATTTTGAAATGCACTGGTTGCTCATAGATTATCTCGGGAGGCATCCCTGGGAAACTTTCGGCCAACAGGGCCCCAGATGGCCTCAGAGAACACAAGATGGCCTGCAAGATTACCCGAGCTAGCTCAAGATGGCCACCACAATGCATCCAAGAGGCCCCAAAGCCGTTCCAAGACGGCTTCAAGGGGCCACGGAGCTACCCCAATAGGCCAAAATCATTTCCAACACTGGAAAAAAACGGATGGCTGCCTTCTCGCCGTGTCGCTTCCGATGTAAGGCCTCAAAATGGCTCCAAGATGGCCCAAGAGGGCCCTTAGAGGAGCCCAAGCACCCAGGCGGCCCCAAGAACGCCCAAGGGCGCCCCAAGACCACCCCAAGAGGGCCCCGAGAGACGACTCTTGGGACTCCAGGGGGACGGCGGAGTTCAGGGACTCCCCGTTATTTGATCGATGTCCTCCAGGATGGCCCCAAAGGGCCTCCAAGGCTCCCGAGAAGGCCCCAAGACGCCCCCACGAGGGCTCCAGAAGATCCCAAAGGGGCCCCAAGAGGGCCCCAAGATAGTACCAAGAGGCCTCCAAGAGGCTCCCAGAGCCAAGGTCCGAAACTTTATTTACATTTGAATCGGCATCTTCATCATCTCCGAATCTCCTGTCCTTCTCAAGCTCCTCCGCCTCCTCCTCCTTCTCTTCCTCGTCCTCCTCCGCTTCCTCCTCCTCCTCCCTCTCGCCACAATCTTCCTCCCAAGAATCCAACTCGTGCTATTCCTCTTCCTCCGCACTCCCCCTCCTCCTCCTCCTCCTCCTCCTCCTCCTCCTCCTCCTTCTGCTCCCCCGCTTCCTCCTCCTCCCCCTCCCACTCCCCACCCTCATCCTCGTCCGCATCCTCATCCTCATCCGCAGCTTCATCAGCCTTGTCATGATCCTCAAAATCATCACCACCATCATCGTCACGTTGGTCTCAAGACGAAAACAATGACACAGTAACTCAACGACCACCTGAGAAATCCGCCGGAGTCCAGCCATGGCGTGCTGAGCACTCGCGCCATGCCAAAGGCGAGCTCATATCTGCATCACTGCAAAATATAAAGCATGATGTGTACCGGCCTCACCCCCACTCCCGGCTGAGCTGGTTGTTGAGGGTTGAAACAGTTGATTGCGCACTTCCCTTGAGGACTCAGCATGCCCACTCTGAGGGCACCTCTGGTCCTGTCCGTCTCCAGCGTTTCGGCGTGTGCTTGGCTATCCTCATTAGGACCTGCCACAACCAACCACACGGGGCAGACCGACGCTGACACGAAAGACACCTCTGTTTCCGACTGCGTGAAATATCCATGTTTGCAACACCCAAATCGCCAGAACCTGTCAAGCGGGCTCAGTGCGATGAGCACAGACAGCTACGCTGCTTGCGTCAACCGAGAGCCTGGCTTCTTCATCCTCAGAGAACAGAACAAGCGACTGCATCACCAGCATCATCAGCTTCAGCACCATCATTATCGTCATCATCATGCTCGTCACCAGACTTACCACCATCATCAACAGCAGCAGTACAACCATCATCAACGTCAGCACCATCATCAGCAGCATCAACAGCATCAGCTTAAGCAGCATCATTATTATCATGATCAGCTTCATTATCAGCATCATCATAATAATCATCATCAACACCAGCATCACCAGCATCATCAGCATCGTCAGCATCGAGATCCCATGCCTTTTGAGCATGATACTCATCCTCCTCACCTCCTCCTCCTCCTCCTCCTCTTCATCATCAGCAGCATGGTCACCATCATCAACATCCGCGTCAGAATTATGATCACCACCATCAGCATCTGCAGCATCATTACCATCATCATCATCATCATCATCATCATCATCATCATCATCATCATCATCATCATCAGCAGCAGCAGCAGCAGCATCATGATCATCACCATCAGCCTCAACAACAGTATCAGCATCAGCATCAGCATCATCATCGCCATCATGTTCATATCAATCCTCACCATCATCATCATCACCATCATCATCATCATCATCGTCATCACCAGCATCATCATCATCATCATCATCATCATCATCATCATCATCATCATCATCATAATCCACCTCCTCCTCCTCCTCCTGCCCCGAACCAGGGTTGAGCAGAAGTTGAGCAAGAACGGTCAATCGAACTCATCCACCTTCTGCTCGCGTTCATCCTCCCCCTCCTCCTGATCTTCCCGCTCCTCCATCATCCGTTCTCCTCATCCTCCTTCTCCTCCTCCTCCTTCTCCTCCGCCTCCTCTTCCTGCTCATCCTCCTCTTCCTCATCGTCCTCTCTCATCCTTCTCTTCCGCCATTCCTCGTTCGACAGCTCCGCGGAGGCACATGTGTTTCACCCCTGGGCCTGCTCAGACCGATCCCAAACGTCTGTTTGACGGCTTCTCCAACTCGTTCGTCCACTGTATGCTCCCACACTTTCCTGATCAAAGCAATTCGCCTGGGCTTCGTTGCTGGGTGAGCTAGCGGGGATACGCGAAACTTCAAGACGTGTTGCTCCACGTGTCGCGGCGGCGGCGCCTGCGACACGCCATGCCTTGAAAGCTGATAGCGTGTCGCCCCTGAGATAGCCTTCGAAGCGGAAACGCGTCGCACTGGCAGTCTAGAAACACTCGAAGTGCTGATAGCGTGTCACGCCGAAGTGTGGTTAGCCAGAGCCAGCGACACGACACGCTAAGCAAAAGTTCATCACCCTAACTTGAGATCCCATCCATTGCGGCAGCCTGGATGCCACCGAGCAGGACCAACTTGTCGCAGCAGTCGAGGTCGACAATGCTGAGCATCTGCTTGTCCTCCCAACATGATCAGCGGGGAACAAAGCGATCTGCTAGATCGAGTCAAGAGCATCGTGCAAATACTGCGAAACAGTAGTCAGTGTATCACTCCAGCTCCTGCATCCCTCATCGTATGTCAAGTTCCCGCGCATCTCTCTCGCCCGTTCTCTTGTTTGTTTATCTCTCTCTCTCTATCTCTCTCTTTCTCTCTCTCTCTCTCTCTCTCTCCTCTCTCTCCTCTCTCCCCCTCTCTCTCTCTCCCTCTCTCTCCATCGCTCTAACAACTCTCTATCTCTCTTTCTCTGTCTCGTTCTCTCTCTCTCTCTCTCCATCTCGTTCAGTGTGTCTCTCGCGGTTTCTCTCGCTGCGTCTCTCTCTCTCTCTTTCTCTTCCTCCCTTCCTCTCTCTCGATCCGTCTTTCTCGCTCTCTCTCTCTCTCTCTATCGTTCTTAAGTTGCTCTCTCTCTATCTCTCTCCTCTGTATCCCCGCACAACTGTAGATATATATATATATACCTATACGACCACCCTTCGGGTGATAAGGTGGTTGGTGGGTGGGGGCGAAAACAAACTGACGACAACTGCGATGGCTGTGATGATGACGATGCTGATGATGCGCACTCGAGGCGGCGACGACGCGTGGTGACGATGCTGCGCCGCGATGCGATCCCACTATCGATCCCACTCGATCGATCTCACCACGGAACGCCAACGGGACACCGACGGGACACCTACGGGACACCGACGGGCCACCGACAGGACACCGACGGGACACCAACAGGACACCGACGGGACACCGACGGGACAGAGACGGGACAGCGACGGGACAGCCACGGAACACCAACGGGACATCGACGGGACACCACGGCGGGACAACCTGGCCACCGCCCGCCCACCGCGGGGGAGAGGCGGACAGCGACGGGACACCACGGAGGGACACCACGGCGGAACAACCCAGCCACCGCCCGCCAACCGGGGAGGGATGAGGGGCGGTCAGCGGCTGTTGACCCGCCCTAGCCACAGCGGAGTTCTCCCTCTCGCCCGCCCACGCAGCTTTGCCTCGCCCGCACGCACGACACGAACCCGAAACCGAAACCGATTTCCCGGTGGGGGGCTCTCCGTTCCACTTCGATCACACACCCAACGAGCGAGAGAGAGATGTGTATGTATGTATATGTACCTATATATATATATATAGAGAGAGAGAGAGAGAGAGAGAAAAAAAAAAAAAAAAAAAAAAAAAAAAAAAAGTGAGAAACAAAAACAAATGGTTACTAGAACCGCGCGCGCGCCTCGCGCGCGCTCAGGTTCTAGCACGTCCCAGCCCTTGACAAGCTGACGCGCACAGCTCTTGGGGGGTATCGTGGGGGTCGTGTGGGCGGTATCGGGAGTCCCTGAGGGTTCCTTAATTTGAATTGAAAGCCCATGCCATAGAGTTCCCGCGGGGCTCCCTCGAACCCTCCAAAGGGTACCGAAGAAGCTCCATATCGTAACCCCAGAAGGGCGGAAGGGTGCTTTGGGAAGCCCGCCCGCAGCCTTTGCGGAACCTCAGCCGAAACGGCTGCCGGCGGCGGCGGCGACGGCGTCGAGGATCATTAGGATTGCCTCGGGACGTCTGGGGGGAACGCTCTTGGGGACCTTGTGCGGCTTCTGGGGAGCCTCATAGGGCCTCTTTTGCGTCTCGAGGGAGCCTCTTGGAGCCTCTTGGAGAGCCTTTTGGGGGCCTCTTGGGGACACCTGGGGACCTCCAGGGGCGGAGAGCTTCAAATGTCCGTTCGGGGTCCCCTCTGGGCCCCTTCTTGAGGCGTCCTGGAGCCCCCTTCGGTCGTCTGGGGGGCCCTCTTGAGCCGTCTAGGAGCCTTCTTGGGAGTCTCTTGGGCCGTCTTGGGACGATCTTCGGGGCCTCTCGAGCCGTCTTGGACGCTGTGAAACCCCAAGAGGCGAATATGGTAAAAATACACGCTGTCCGAAAGGACTGGGGCCATGCTTGCCTCTTGGGGCATGCTTGCCTCTTGGGGCTCTCTTGGGAGGCCTCTTGGGGGCCTCTTGAGGAGGCTTCTTGGCGGTGTTGGAGGCATCTCTGAGGCCATCTTGGGCCATCTTGGCCATCTTGTAGGGCATCTAAGTCGTCGTGGAGCGGGAAAGAGATATCCTGGAGCCCGGGCATCGCCATGGGGGAATGGGCCTGCCCCCCCTGGGCCTGGAACGCCAGGATGTGTAGATCTGGTTGTATATACACATACATGTACTACACATCTATATAGAGAGATACACATACACACATACGGACATACATGCATACATACATACGTACATACATACATACATGCATACACACAAATATATACATATATGTACACGTGCATGCATACATGGTTACATATATTAGTACACACATACATACATACATACATACATACATACATACATACATGCATACATACATACATACATACACACATACATACATGCATGCATACGTACGTACGTATATGCATGCATGCAGGCATGCATACATGCATGCATACGTACATACGCACGTACATACGTACATACGTACATATGTACATACGTACATGCGTACACACATGCATACGTACGTGCGTACGTACATGCATACATGCATGCATACATACATGCACCCATACATACATACATGCATACGTACGTACGTACGTACGTACGTACATACCAGCATATACACATACGTACACACATGTATACGTGCATGCATACATGCATATATATATACACATGCACACATACATACGTACCTGCATACGTACGTACATACATACATGCATGCATACATACATACATACATGCATGCATGCATGCATACATACATGCATGCATGCATGCATACATACATACATATATACGTACATACATACATACATACAGACATGCATACACACATACATACATACATGCATGCATACATACATACATTCGTATATCCATACGTACATGCATGCATACCTGCATACGTGCATACATACATACATGTATACATACATATATAAACACATACATACACACAAGCATACATGCATGCATGCATACCTGCATACATGTATACATATATGATACACATAGATGTGTATATATATATACCGACACACACATATACACATATACACACACCCCTAACTATGACCACCCTTCGGGTGACAAGGTGGTAGAACAAACTGACGACAACTGCGATGGCTGTGATGATGACGATGCTGGTGATGCGCGCTCGAGCTGGCGACGACGCGTGGTGGCGATGCTGCGCCGCGATGCGATCCCACTATCGATCCCACTCGATCGATCTCACCACGGGACGCCGACGACACACCGACGGGGCACGGTTCGGACACCAACGGGACACCGACAGGACACCGACAGGACACCGACGGGACACTGACGGGACACCGACAGGACACCGACGGGACAGCGACGGGACAGCGACAGGACAGCCACGGAACACCAACGGGACACCGACGGAGCACCGACGGCACACCGACGGGACATCACGGCGGGACAACCCAGCCACCGCCCGCCCACCGCGGGTGAGAGGCGGACAGCGACGGGACACCACGGCGGAACAACCCAGCCACCGCCCGCCCACCGGGGAGGGAGGAGGGGCGGTCAACGGCTCTCGACCAGCCTTAGCCACAGCGGAATCATTCCTCCCGCCCGCCCGCGCAGCTTTGCCTCGCCCGCCCGCAGGACACGAACCCGAAACCGAAACCGATTTCCCGGTGGGGGGGCCTCTACGTTCCACTTCGATATTCTCCCAAAACCTCCTGTGTATATATATGTGTGCGTGTGTAGATACACATCTATAACCCCTACATAGGCACATGTATACATATATGTAGGCATGCATGCATGCAAACGAGCATACATACATACATACCTGCATACCTACAGACAGACAAACAGACAGACAGACGTACATGCATACACATATATATATAGACATACATACAGATTTCCCCCATCGCAGAGCGACGCAGCCAAGATCAGTCAATGAATCCTCTGGTCCGTATGCGTCGGATCACAAAAGACAGTGCTACCGAACGACGTTGCGTCAGAAAAGCTGGACGGCCAACTCGCGGTGCTGAAAAGTTGTATGCCTGAGGTGATCCAAAGCCGCTGGGAAAACAGAGGAAGGCGGAGGATGAGGGGGCGCGAGGGGGGCAAGGAGGAGGAGGAGGAGGAGGACAAGCCAGCAAACAGAAACGCAGTGCATCCGCCCTCGCCGACTGATTAACATTACCCCGCGGTGTCCTGGGGCGAGTCGGGAGGAGAGCAAGCAGGCATCAAAGCGGCCACCTGCTGCCCGAAGTACGTGGGCCTAACCAGTCTAGGCAGAGGAGGAAGAGGAAGAAGAGGAGAGGAAGAACAGACGAAAAAGTAAAACACGCGCGTGGGCAAACATGGTACCACCAGCCAGTGCTCGCAAAATGGCCCCCACGCGTACTACACAAAAGCCCAAATACGGCGCACTAGTAATAGTAGGGCGTACGCGCCGAAGCGACCGAACCCTACAAATATACATATATATACATACATACATGCATGCATGCATGCATACATACATACATTACATTGCACTACATTACATTACATTACATTACATTACATCACATTGCATTACACTACATTACATTACATGACATGACATTACATTACATTACATTACATTATATTACATACATACATACACACATCTATATCCATATATACATAAGAGTAAGCGGGCTGAACCGAACGGTCATTCTCTGTCCCTGGGTGCGTGGCTGAAGTGGAATTCCGCAATGCGGATTACTGTTGTTGTTATTGTTGTTGTTGTTGTTGTTGTTGGTTGTTGGTTGTTGGTTGTTGGTTGTTGTCGTCGTCCCACCCGCGACCCACCCCGCGACCCACCCGCGACCCACCCCGCGACCCCACCGCGACCCACCCGCGACCCACCCCGCGACCCACCCGCGACCCACCCCGCGACCCACCCGCGAACCACCCGCGACCCACCCGCGACCCACCCCGCGACCCGCCCGCGACCTACCCTGAGACCCCCCCAGCGACCCACCCGCGACCCACCCGCGACCCACCCGCGACCCACCGCGACCCACCCGCGACCCACCCGCGACCCATCCCGCGACACACCCAAAATTTTCGGCGCCTGCGGCGGGTTTCTTTTGCATTCGTTCCAGGTCGTTCCAGGTGGAGAACCTGCGACCCACCCGCGACCCAAACCGCGTTCAGTGTACAAATAGAAATTTTCGGCGCCTGGGGGGGCTGTTTTTGAATTCCTCCCAAGTTGGAGGTGGAGAGCCCGCGACCCACCCGCGACCCAAACTACGTCCACTGAACAAGCCAAAACTTCGGCGCCTGCGGCGGGTTTCTTTTGCATCGGCGACCCACCAGCGACCCACCGGCGACCCATCCCGAGACCCACCCGCGACCCACCCCGCGACCCACCCGCGACCCACCCGCGACCCACCCGCGACTCACCGCGACTCACCCGCGACCCACCCGCGACCCACCCCGCGACCCACCCAAAATTTTCGGCGCCTGCGGCGGGCTTCTTTTGCATTCGTTCCAAGCGTCTTTTGCATTCGTGAGGGCCACGAGGTCCGCCGGCTCGACGCCCGCGTCGCCCGCGCCCGCCCCCTCACTCTTGTCCGCAATTGCAGGGTGTTACCTACATATGAAGATACACACCAAATATATATATATATATATATATATATATATATAAAAACATATGTGTATATATAGATATAGATATATCAGAGTGAGGGAGCCAGATGGTCATTCATTATCCCTGGGTGCGTGGCTGAATCAAGAATTTGTCGTGAGAGTTCTGCGTGTTGCGTTGTTGTTGTTGTTAGGGTGGTTGTTGTTGTCTGTTGCTGTCGTCGTCCCACCCGCGACCCACCCGCGACCCACCCCGCGACCCACCCGCGACCCACCCGCGACCCACCCCGCGACCCACCCAAAATTTTCGGCGCCTGCGGCGGGCTTCTTTTGCATTCGTTCCAGGCTTCTTTTGCATTCGTGAGGGCCACGAGGTCCGCCGGCTCGACGCCCGCGTCGCCCGCGCCCGCCCCCTCACTCTTATCCGCAATTGCGGGGTGTTACGTACATATAAAGATACACACCAAATATATATATACACATATGTGAATATATATATATATATATATATATATATATACATACATATACATATCTATATAGACAGATATAGATATATCAGAGTGAGGGAGCAAGATGGTCAGTCATTATCCCTGGGTGCGTGGCTGAATCAGGAATTTGTCGTGAGAATTATGCGTGTTGCGTTGTTGATGTTGTTGTTGTTGTTGTTGTTGTTGTTAAGGTGGTTGTTGTTGTCTGTTGTTGTCGTCGTCCCACCCGCGACCCACCCGCGACCCACCCCGCGACCCACCCCGCGACCCACCCCGCGACCCACCCCACTACCCAAACGCGACCCACCTCGCGACCCAACCGCGACCCACCCCGCGACCCACCCACGACACACCCGCGACCCGCCCGCGACCCACCCCGCGACCCACCCGCGACCCACCCCGCGACCCATCAGCGACCCATCCGCGACCCACCCGCGACCCACCCCGCAACCCACCCGCGACCCACCCCGCGACCCACCCTCAAGGGAGGAAAAGCCACCCGGACCCGACAATTGAAGTTTTTAAAAACGGCCCTGGGCGTTGACTAAATAGCCCTGCCCTGTTCGATTCATTCATTGTGTGCGTTTACTAGACGGCTTCGCTTGTCGGGGAGATGATTATGGGGTGGATTTTCTGCCCTCTACACCCGCGACCCACCCGCGACCCACCCGCGACCCAACAGCGATCCACCCGCGACCCACCTGCGACCCACCCTCGACCCATTTGCGACCCACCCGCGACCCACCCGCGACCTACCTACATTGGTATAACGAAAAAAACGGCGCCTGCGGCGGGCTCGTTGTATAATTCGTGAAACGTTGGCGCCTGCGGCGGGCTTCTCTGGAGTCTCGCAAGTTGCCGACGTCCCCACCGCGAGCGAACTCAGATGACTCTCACTAGCCCATATGTGTTGCTCCTCTGTCGACACGCCTCCCTCAAGGAAAGAGCAAAGTAACGAATTATCAAAAATGAAGATACGACTGAATACTCCAATACTCCGCATTGCATTCGTCTCCTCCTCCCCATCCTCCTCCGCACTCCGCCTTGTCCCTGCTGTAAAACCCTGCGGGCGTCGCACACTCCTGAATGCAGGCCAATACTCGCAGGCAGGCAGGCACGTTACGAGCATCAGCCGAAGGCACGGCGAGTGCGCGAGTGAGCGGTCGCGCGCTGCGGCTCTAAGCATTGGGCGTGCGGAATGGAAGGCCTACCGCAAACTGGAAACATGGTACGGCAGGTTCACGTCGTGACGATTTGAGCGCTGGTGCCTGGCGCCGCGTGGATCGGCCAACCTTGAAAGACCGCGGCCTTCAGATTGTGCAGATGGTTCGATATCAGCCGGTTCTGGGCCGCTGGCGGCGTTCGGCCTTGACCGCCCGCGCTGGTGTCGCAGCCGGATCGACACGGCGCGAACCTGTCGTATGATTCGCACTTCGGCGGCACTGTGTCTCGTATGTCTCTGCTGTCAGCAGGTCAACGGTCTGTGCAATACCTAGCCACCTGTGGCCAATCGGCACAGACCGATTACTTCCTCGAACTACCCTGCAGAGAGCAAAGCAAAACGAACAAGCAAACAAACACGCAAACAAAGCATCCCATGGAGAGACCAGGACGTACAAGTAGGACGCTACTGAAAGAAAGACACCCCCCCAACACTTTGCAAGCCATCTTGCTCGTCGTAACAAAGCAAGCTTCTCGCTGGATAGGGACTCCCGATTGTTACTGTGCTCTGCGTGCCTCAACTGCCTAGATACGCAACACGCAGCCTGGAACGTGTTGACACGGATCTCCATACGTATATTGGATATTTAGGCCTGGCGCGATGCATTCGCCAAAAAGTATGCCAATCCGCAACGTGTTCAACCTGGACATTTTGAACGCGGCACGTGCCAAACTGCCTACTGATCCTCACGATGAATCCGATCAGCCCTCTCCCCCAAGCATCTTCTCCCATGCTCCCCACCCTCACTCGACATCCCTCGGCAGCCCCGTTACTTCCCTCATCGTCCTTATCCTAGCCCCTCTCCACATTATCATTGCCATTATCGCCATGATCCCCACAACCCCTCCACGATGCTGAAGGCCTTGTAAGCAAGCTCGGCCATGGGGTTCTTAGCGGCAGCGATATCCGGCCTGCTCTGAAATAACTGAGAACCCATGCCAAATGTCTTCGGATGCCATGTGGTGACGGCGCGCGCTTTGCACCACAGCACCGGCACAGACAATATGACACATGTTTTGGCGTCGCGGCCACGCGCGCGGCGGCGCGGCGTAGGTCAGGCAGGTCAGGCGAATTGCGCAGGCCAGACCAGCTCACGCTGCGTACAGAAGCTGGATCCACGCATAGGAGATCGGACACTCGGGAAAAGCTGGATCCAACACTGGCGAGGGGGTAGTCGCGAGGGGAGGGGGCGATGGGAAAGAGGGGAAAGAGGGGGAAATGAGGGCACGGAGAAGCAGTGGGGAGCCGAAGAACCAAGCGAGGCGCAGCATGAGGGGGTCAACAGCAGCCGACCAGGAAGGAAAACACACACACAAACACATTCGGGCACACACTTAGACGCACAAACACACACACACACACACACGCACGCACGCACGCACGCACGCACGCAAGCACGCACGCACGCAAGCACACACACACACACACACACACTTACACAATTACACACACACGCGCACACACACACACTTAAAAGCGCACACACTCAAAACTACACAAGCATACACACAACACACGCAAATACACATATACATACACTCACGCAACCGCGCGCACACACACACACACACACACACACACACACACACACGCAACCGCACACACGCACAGACACACACACACACCCATACACACATACATACATACACAGACACACACATATATATATATATATATATATACATCCGTACACACATACATGCATACATACATGCATGCATACATACATTGCATGCATGCATGCATGCATGCATGCATACATACATACATATATACATGCATACACAGGTATACATATACATGTATATATGTATATATATATATATATACATGTATACACCGCCGGCGGCGAGGCAAAATTGGCTCAACGCGAAAGCTAGACGGGGGTACCACAATGCGAATTGTGCAATCATGCAAGAAGGGAAAAGGCAGAGAGGGCGGCCGTGGGGGGGCGGGGGAAACAATGCCATTTAGGGGCGGAAGAGTTCTCGCGTGAGTGGGCTGGCGCGGCCAGCCCTGCCAGCGGAGGCCGTGGCAGCTGCCGGGCCGCGACGCCGCGGCACCCACGGGCGCGGGCGGGGCCCAGTGCGGGAAGAGCAGGTACACGAAGCAGTGACAAAGCCGAGGAAGAGCACGTGGCACACGCAGGGCAGGAAGGGTGCCGCTGGCTGCCCAGGTGGGAAGCACGGTCAAGGTGCGGCAGGTACTTGTGCAGCCCAGGGGGGAACTGCAGACTGCATTCAGCAGAATGCTGAGCTGGTGGAGGGGACGGGCGGCAAGACCAAGCCCGGGTACCGGACCACGTGGACTGCGCACGGCGGCAGCCGCGCGAGCGCCATGGCGGCGCGCGGGGGAGGGGGGGAAAGGGAACGGGGCGGGGAGGGGAGAGAGGGCAGGGGAGGAGCGCCGAGCCTGTGGGGAGGTCCCCGCCTGTGGGGAGGTCCCCGCCGGCGGGGCGGCCGTGCCAGCGCCAGCGCCAGCGGCCGGGGGCGGCTGCCCACGCACCGCCCGCTGCAAACTATGCTGCCCAAGGCGAGGGGCTGCTGAGGTCACCCAGGATGCCCGTCTGTAGGGGCGGACAAACGACGGACAGAACTGTGGCCGAGGCCAGAGGGCACTGCGCTTCCTTCTTCAGGGCGCCCAACCGGCGCACGGGACGTGGGAGTCAGTGGAGGCGGGGAGGCCGCTCGCTGCCGGGGTAGACAGCGTCCAGCCACGTCGCCGAGCGTGACAAAACTGTGGCCGAGGCCGGGAGGCAAACACCGCCAGTGAGAACGGTGGGGACCAGGCAGCGGTGCACCTAATCGGCGCAAGGATAGTGGGGACGAAGCGGCTGGGGCCAAGGGGGGGGCGTGCTGCCGGGGTGGACAGCGCGGCCGTGTACACACACACACACACACACATACGTAAACACTTTTCCCCCGACGCGCGTAGAGGTCCAGTTCGTGGAGTACCTAACACTGGGGATGCCAGCGACTAGAATTCTCCCTTTTGTCAAGCGCGTGGCAAGACTGAACTCCCACACCGAAAAAAACGCAGCGGCGAACTGGGGCAGAAAACCCAAGTGTTGCAGGGCGGAGCACGGTCGCAGGGTGCGGCGGCGGGTAAGGAAGCACCACCAGCAAGGCAAGCGTGATGGGCGGAGACGCAAAAACGCCCAGAGGGCCGGACTGAGCGGTCGCGGCAGAAAAAGCGACAGGGCCAGGCAAAAGAGAGCTGACGACACAGAGACTGTCACCCACATGCACGCACACACAGACACATGTTTTGGCGTCGCGGCCGCGCGCGCAGCGATGCCGCGGCGTCAGACAGCTAAGAGCCCAAAGAATGCAGATAGGGTATCGCACCTTTTTCCTCTAGCGGCCGGGTGACAGCACCGCAACGAATACTAGAGCGGGCCACGTCTAGTTCAAGCGCAACCTGACGTTGCAGATGGGGGGCCTGGACGAAGGCTGACGTTTGCCAAAAAAGTGGGCACCGCGCATACACAGACGATCACAGGCACACACACACACACACACTCACCGCCATGGCTTCCAGCGCACGCCATGGCTTCCAGCGCACGCGGCGCACCGCCATGGCTTCCAGCGCACCGCCATGGCTTCCAGCACACCGCCATGGCTTCGCGGCCAGGCGCACCGCCATGGCTTCCAGCGCACGCGCGGAGACAGCGCCCGCACCCAGTCGTTGAGAAGAGGCCAGCCAAAGGCGAGACGGCTGGCCCCTGACGGAGCAGCGGCCGGGAGCGGCGCAGGGGCGCCGGGGCAGCGAGGCAGCGGGCAGGCGCCGGCGACCGGCGGAGGCAGCCAGGGGGGCGGGCGGCGGCCGCAGGGCGGGCGGGGCGCTACACACAATGGTGAAGAGATAAGCTTGAATTATACCCCACGCTTGCTGTTCCCCCCTTCTTCCTCCAAGAAAAATCCGAGAAGCGATCGAAGCACAGCAATCAATCCGAATCGCGCACTCACGATGCACATCGTACCTCCTTTTGCCTGAAGTCGCCCAAGCGGGCCCAACTTTCAGCAAGACCTACTGTTGCAACAACTCGGGGGGCATTGCGCTTCAGGAAGCAAGCCTGAACACAAACAGCAGCAGAAAAACATAATGCGCGCATACGTGTGAACGCATGCTTGTACAAACTGAAGGCCGACCGCCGACACCGGATGCTCACAACAGGTGCCCCCCAAGTCGGAGTCTTCCTTGAACACAATTTGGTGATCTAGGTCCGTATACATCAGAGCTCAAATTCATGAAAATATGAAAGCTACACGCGCACACGCACATACACATAAGCCCACCTCTTCAAACGCGGGAGGTTCCATCCAGGAGCAAAAGCACGAGGATGTCAATTGTTGGCGGGCTCGCAGGCGCGCGGCGGGGTAGCCTGGGCGGCAGAAGAGAACAAACTCAGCGATTGCCCCAAACATCGCAACGCATAGACCAAACACGGGTACGCAAAGGCACGCGGGACGGGCGAAAGAGCTGCGTCGGGTAGGGCATCACCGAAGTCCTCCCCCTCAGGAAGCACCGAAGCAAAGGTTGCTGACGACACATTCGAGAGCGCCCAACTAACCCCGAAGCTGGACAGAGCCGCGCCTAACAAAAATGGGAGTTCCCGGAAAGACGCGACTGCAATGCGCCGTAACGCATGCATGACTAGGCACACATTAAACAACGCAAAACAGATGGCTAGCTTCACGCCGAGAGAACCGAGAAACCAAAAACCCAGAAGTTCCCAAGAGATTCTGGAACCACGGCAACACTGAGAGAGAGAATGTCGAGACAGGACATGCACTCAGGGCGGAGCGTCCTGCATGGGCTCTGAGCTCCACCCGCCCCCGGAGGCGAGGTGCTGGTAGAGCCTTTTCCCCGGTCTTGGCGCAGGTCTTGGCCTGCGGGATCCATGACTCCCCCTTCTCGGCGTCGAGGCCGCGGAGCTTCTTCTGCCACTGAGCCACAGATTTGAGCTTGGAAACGCGGTTCCACCAGTCCTGCCACTCGAACTGGAGGAGGTCCTGCATCGCCATCACCTCTCTGCGACCAACACTGAAGCCCAAACAAGAGTGGAAGGGCAACGACCGACCTCTCCTCGTCCATGGTTGCAGCACAGAGAGGCGACGGCGGGCTAAGAAAATGCACGGGAGGCTTCACCTTGTCGGGGTCAGCCCTAGCACGTGGACGTGGAACATCGGGGCTCACCATCGGCTCCTTAACGTCGGAGCCCGCCTGCACAGTCGTAGCTCGCATGGACTGGATGCCTTCTGCCTGGTCTGCTCGAGGGGGCTGCCGAGTTCGGAGGTGCCGCCGAACTCGAAGATGCTGCCGTTAGCTGACTCTGACGCGCGAACTCCGACATCTCGCGCACCGTCTCTGTCAGACGCGGTTCGCCTGGGGACTGCACCTGCGTCGGGCTTTGGTTTCCCTGCGGGCTCCGGGTGGCCTTCATCGCGCTCATCCAGGCCGGCGCCAGCTCGCGGGTGGAGGCGCCCGCGGCGTTGTGCACAAAGCTGGGTGGAGGAGCCCGTGGTGTTGAATCTGCGCCTGCACACCTGCCAGCGCTGTCCCCAGCTGAGCCATACGCCCCAAAGTCGCAAGACTTCCCATCACATCATTGAACTGATCTGCCATCGAAGAGAAAATGTCATGGCTGCTGCCCCGGCGTGACGGGTATCCACGCGGTGCCTGCCACTGCCTGCTGCCAAGGCTCACCCGTCGGCGACGAAAGCAAGGGCACACATGGGAGTAGATGTGCAGGGTTAGCGCGGGATCGGATCTCAGCTGCTCGACGATGGAGAATATGACCTACATTGCGCGCACGCATGATGGGAGAAGGACGGTGAAATACAACTCGTAGCGGTAGGATAGGCTTGGGCGACCAGTCGAAGGGCAAAAAGTGTTAGATCTCGCATTTCAGCAGACGGTGGGATACGCCCCAATAATGTATACATCTATGTATACATATATATATATATATGAATTCGAAGGGGTACCCTACGTGGATATACACCAGAGTGCCAACTATGAACGTGTCAAACATAGTGATGGAAGCATAGTTAAACGTCGCCAACGGAAGACACAACCCTGAAGTTCAGCACGATGTCGTTCAATAACTTCCTGCTCGGTGCGGAACGTGCACGAGCGAATGGAAGCCAATCTCTGCGGGGTTCCCAGCGCAGGCAAACCTCGTTTGTTTTATGCATTGGTTTTAAAAGCAACTCCTGGACATTGAAATGGGCCCTGGCATCTGGGAACGTCTGGGCGATAGTCTCTTCATTCGCCGGAGCGAACTTCTCGTCAACCTTGAAAACCACGATATTTCGGTAAACGCACGCAAAGACTTCTTGAACACAGCACCAGCAGAGAGTCCGCGAAAGGAGGAGAGAGGGTCCACAGATCTGCCTAGTGCCACAAGCTTGCACTGGCTTGGATTCGCTCGATCGCACGTGGTCTCGCACCTGCTGAACACAAGCTCAAGGACGCAGCCTGACAGAGACCCACCGATCGGAATGCCCTGCAATTGCTGCAAAAAGACACCTCCAAAGCGGAACACGCGCATGCTGAAGAAGCCGCTCATCGCACGGCGCGTACACTCGAAAGAGACAATCGTGCGATCATTGTACGACACCTATAATACAATCGGTCGGAAGAAGCAGGTAGAAACATGAAGTAAGAAGGAGTTGAAAATAGATTGGGTGTCCGCCCAGCCCCTAAAAAGAGGACGGAAAAGGTAAAGCCACTCGATCATTGAAGTAGGAAGGCGCTTAAAGTAGATTGTAATCCGGGACTCCAAAAATACATACTTTCAACGACCGACGGGCATCACCCCCAACCTCGACTCGCATTATATCCTGGGTCACCGCTCAATATCGTGACCGCGCGTGCTTTGGTAACCTAAGTGGCCCGATCAAACAACTCCTGGACAGCTGAATCGATCCCCTGGGTGTCATGCCTGGCCTTCGCCCGCAATAACAGCCATCGGGTACATCATCATTATTCTTCACCCCTCGCGCTGCAAACACCCTGTGTCGGGATTGCGGGTGGGTATCTTCCGCGTGGCCACACGATCACCGAGAAGAGGAAAGGCTTGACTCATCTCGCGGAGCCCCCAGCCAGAGGTCAAAAACCTCATCGCGCGCTGAAAACCTCGGCCAAGTTGCCGATCAACTCGCCTACCAGGTACGCATACCAAGGAACATATGTTCCTAAAGCAGGAGTGCTTGGGGCCCCGGCATCGGTGTTCCCCTTGGGGGGGGGGTCCAGAAGTTTAGTTTGATCGTAGGACATTCATAAGGTGTACTGGCATAGCTAAGCTGAGATCGACCGCGGAAATACGTTCAGGAATAGTGACATCCAGAAGACTTCCCACCGATGAGGAGCACGGCTGAGGAGGTAGATCCACATGAACATGAGGTAGAAAGGGGGCAGAATCCAGAGGATGTCGGAGTCCTTGTCTTCTACGGTCACACAAGCCTGGCCCCCAGAGGAACGTGCCTCAGAAACCACCTCTGAAGTCAATCTGGAAAAACCTCCTGGAAGTAGCTTGAGGATGAAATACGTTCTTCAACTTGTTGCGACTACAGGAGGTCCACGACCACTTCGGGCCAAAAAACCCAAACCAGAAAATGAGCCTGGCGAAGAACCCAACCATATACAGTTGTGAGTAATGCTGGTGTGAGTACCGTCTTCGGTGGATCTCCCTATGGGGCCACGAACCGCTTGAGGGGTGTGCCGAAATGGGTGTGGGGGCGGCATGCGAACGTTGCCACTGGGGCCTTCGGTGGAGCTCCCTGTGGGGCCACGAAACGTGTGAGGGGTGTGCCGAAATTGGTGTGGGGGCGGCATGCGAACGCAGCCACTGGGGCCTTCGGTGGAGCTCCCTATGGTGCCACGAAACGTGTGAGGGGTGTGCCGAAATGGGTGTGGGGGCGCATGCGAACCCAGTCACTGGGGCCTTCAGTGGAAATCCCCATGGGGGGGGCCTTCGGTGGAGCTCCCTATGGGGCCACGAAACGTGTGAGGGTGTGCCGAAATGGGTGGTGGGGAGGCATGCGGACCCTGCCACTGGGGCCTTCGGTGGAGCTCCCTATGGGGCCACGAAACGTGTGAGGGGTGTGCCGAAATGGGTGGTGGGGAGGCATGCGGACCCTGCCACTGGGGCCTTCGGTGGAGCTCCCTATGGGGCCACGAAACGTGTGAGGGGTGTGCCGAAATGGGTGGTGGGGAGGCAACTGGGGCCTTCGGTGGAGCTCCCTATGGGGCCACGAAACGTGTGAGGGGTGTGCCGAAATGGGTGGTGGGGGGCATGCGGACCCTGCCACTGGGGCCTTCGGTGGAGCTCCCTATGGGGCCACGAAACGTGTGAGGGGTGTGCCGAAATGGGTGGTGGGGAGGCATGCGACCCTGCCACTGGGGCCTTCGGTGGAGCTCCCTATGGGGCCACGAAACGTGTGAGGGGTGTGCCGAAATGGGTGGTGGGGAGGCATGCGGACCCTGCCACTGGGGCCTTCGGTGGAGCTCCCTATGGGGCCACGAAACGTGTGAGGGGTGTGCCGAAATGGGTGGTGGGGAGGCATGCGGACCCTGCCACTGGGGCCTTCGGTGGAGCTCCCTATGGGGCCACGAAACGTGTGAGGGGTGTGCCGAAATGGGTGGTGGGGAGGCATGCGGACCCTGCCACTGGGGCCTTCGGTGGAGCTCCCTATGGGGCCACGAAACGTGTGAGGGGTGTGCCGAAATCGGTGGTGATGATGATGATGATGATGATGATGATGATGATGATGATGATGATGATGATGATGATGATGATGATGATGATGATGATGATGATGATGATGATGGAGGAGGAGAAGAGGAACGCGGGGAGGAGGAAAACGAGGAGGAGGATGGTTGGGAAAACCAGCAGGAAATCTTGAAACCAAAACCTGGGGAGGTCGACATCCTGAAAAAAACTCAAACACCAAACCCGCGAAAAACTCAAACCCACAAAAAACTTGAAAAAAACTGAAACTCAAACCTGGGGAAAAAACTGAAACCAACCAAACAACTCCAGAAAATCTCTAAACCGAAACCTGGGAAAAACTTTGGACAAAAAAACTCTCGAACTATTCTGGACAAACTCCAAAAAACTCTAAAACAAGCTCTGGAAAAAACTCTAAACGCCTGAAAACGTTAACACAAATCTGTAAAAACTATACAAAAAACGCTAAACGCTTGAAAACTCAAAACAACTCGTTAAAACAAAAAAACTCTGGAAACAAAACTCGAAAAAAACTTTGGGAAAACACTCTAAAAACAACTTTGGAAAAAAAAACAAAAAACAAACCTTCTGGGTTTGAGTTTTTTCCAGGTTTGAGCTTCGGTTTTTTTTTAGGTTTTCTGTGGGTTTGAATTTTCCCAGGTTTCGGGTTCAAGATGTTCTTTCGTTTCTTCTGTGTTTGAGTTTTCCCCAGGTTTTGTTTTTGAGATTTTCTCAGGTTGTAATTCAAGATGTTTTGATATTTTTGGGGGGTTTGAGTTCCCGGCCGAAGATGTTTTGAAGATTTCGGCAGGTTTTCCTATGGACCGCCTGTAGTCAATTGCCGAACCTAAGGGTAGATCATGCAACGGAACGTCAGGAACCTGAAACCGACGAAGCCATTGCCCACAACGTGCGTACACCTCCTGCCTCACCTCCTTTGCTGTGCTCTCATCGGAAAACGATCATTGAGTAGAAGTCGTCACGCATCCCGGCCTGAAGCGAGACATTCGAAAATATGGGGACATACATAAGCAAGGTCCCGAAAACGGAAGGCCTGAGTACACACTGGGCAACGATGAGACAGCGTCGTTTAGCGGGCTGAGGCAGGGCCAATGCAATGCGCGTCATTTTTGCGCACCACGACGGCCCACTGAGGTCGTGAAACAACGTCCTCTCACAATACCTGCGCGTGCCACATTCGTACTGAATCGAGGTATTCAGGATACGGAACATGCAGGTAGTTTCTCGAGGGTATGGCATAGTCGTGCTCACGAAAATGATCATTGAAGATGAGCTCGTGCTCGTAATATGTCATGCTAGTGCGGTACAACAACGCGGGATATACAAACGATGACGGGGAAATCTAGCTCGTGCGGTTTTACGATAAGGTGCTTGATGAAACGGGGTCGATGTCCTGGTTGGTGTAGTTCTATGGGGCCCAGGGTTCCAGTCTGTTTGTAGATCGCCTGCTGATAAACCTGGCACACAAGAAGTTGAACTAGTAGCGTAATATTGTTTGTTAACGTGGGCGTCCTTCGACATATCGTTGTCGCGAGAGATGTTGCGAGGCGAAACGATCGAGCACACGCGAGTGCCATACATCTGATGTTTCCATGAACCTGTCAAGCGCCCTACTCCCCGAACGTTCACTGCGACCATTCTTTCATTGTCGAGCCCCGCAGGAGGGTTGCCATCCGAAGCCACCGCATGGCCGCGCCAGCACGAATACAGGGGGACCCCCCTCACGCCAAAGAAGAACGGCCCGAGCCGCAGTGGTTGCGCAGAGGGGGGAGAGAGAGGAAGCAAAGAGAGGCACCGGCGCAATCAGCCAGTTCTAGGGGGTTCCCCCCCCCGAGCGAGACATTATCCCCCAATATCCTCCCCATGTTCCTGCCTCCCGTTCCCTATCCTCCTCCTTCTCCTCCTCCCCCTCCTTCTCGTTCTCCCACGAGAGCCTGACAGGGCCCAAGTTGTTGCGGATGAACTGCTGCTGCATGTCCAGCCCGTCCATCTCCTGAGCAAGAAGCGTATGGACTCTCATGGGCACGCTGTCTGCGCAGAGCGTGCTCGCGAACGGGAGAGGTGGACGGAGTAGAAGGAGGAGGAGGCAGAGACAAGGAGAGGGAAATTGTCGGAGAGGCGGAGAGGAAACAAAGGAGAGGGGCGGAGGAGATGCAGAAAAGAGGAAAGAGGAGCTGGAGTGGCAAATGGTGCGAGGAATATTGAGGAGGAGAGGGATGGCAGTTGAAGAAGTCGGGGCGGGAAAGGGGCCATGAGACGGGAATGCTGTACCTCAGGACGGATTACATGGAGAAACTGGGGGGAGAGTGGAATTGGAAGGGAAGGACCATGCCACCGCTCCAAAGCGAGAGCACTGCTCGAAGGATGTCGGGGGCAGTTTCCGAAGAGCTGCGCGCGGGGCCAGCGCCCATCCCTCCAGACAGCTGGCGTCAACTTGTGGGCCCTCATAGAGAAAAGAAATCTGAGATGCGCGATAAGTCGCACGCAGGGGGGAACACAACAACGGGGGAAACAAACACCCCAACGGTTCCTTCAACTCATATGTCCTCTTCATTCGCACAAGCGGATATAACGTCACGGCGAGCCGAGCATGTTGCCGGAAAGTTCCCATCAAACATCTTGCAAGCACTACGCACGATGCCCCCAACAGACAATTACACGTATGAACGGCGATTGTCTTTCATAGGCAAATTTTCACCCGAGATTTCCTCGCAAGGCACAAGACTGAACGCCCAACTTAGCCAATGCTTACACGAATGGAGGACAGCGTATTCGGGGAAATCGCGCTATAGATTGAGACTTCGGCTCTTGCTTAGGGTGCGCCGTGCTCTCGCACCCGCGCCGCAAATGTTCCCCTTAAACGTGCAGCTGCACTAACGGAAGACCGTTCCTTTTCAACCCACATTGTGTTTCGACGCATCGTGCTGCCGACTGTCAGTGTTGGCATTCCGTTGCACCGTACAGACTGAATTATTCTCACTGTTCGACAGATCGAATCCACAAAAATGCCTTGCACTTGGCTGAGAAACCTTTAGAACCACCTCCTAACCAGGGGACCATCCCAAACCCGTCTGGCGAAACACCACCCCTGCATCCCCCATTCCTCCCTCCCCGACCAAATCCATCCCTCACCGGTGCACTCGCACGCAGCCGGCGCCCGAATTCTTCGGCATCCCTGCAACATGTGCAATTGTCACCGGATGACGAAAAGGAGGGTTAGAAGGAATAATGCGGAAGCACAGGACATGAACCAGGCACATCATTTCCATGACTGGTATCGTTTCGATGAAGACGCCTTCAACTATCATTGCTGCACTCACGAGCCATCATCATCACCAGCGACACCACCCTCATCGTTGCAAGCAACACCAACACGATCATTAGTATTTGTAACGTCGCCATGGTCACCACTAGCGCGGCCGGACCCTAACGGGCGGGCGGGCGGCGGGCGCGTTTCAACCGGCAAACGGACATACTCCGACGAGCGGGCAGGCGGGTCGGGGTGGGCGGATGGGCGGGTAGGGCGTTAAAACGGGCAGGGCGCAACGCCCGGGCCCTTACGGGCGCGCGCGGGCCGGGGACGGCCAGCCGCGCGCGAGGGCGTCGAAGCGGGCGGGTTTCCACGCGCGCGACGCCAGGTGGGCGAATTCAGAGGGGGGGAAAGGGGGGGGGGCAACAGACTGAAAAGTAAGGGTATAGGGCTTGGCCGAAAAGTAATCAGCTGAGAGCCCTACTCATAGGATAACGTCGGCGACGTATCGCAAGGCGAGAGGTAAGAGAGAACCGTGGGATCGGGAGATGGATCGTAGAAGGGCGCGGCCTTTGTCCGTTGCTACGATCCGCAGGTAGAGTCACACAGTTAAGTGGCAAATAAGAAGACGCTGCCTTGAGCAAAAACAGCGTCGGATAGATCGATCGCTGCACAGCCTCTCCTTAAAACTCGTCTAAAATCGGGAGGGGAAGGACCGAACGCTAGATCCAAGTCCTGACTAATTAGGCCAAATCAACAAGGACGATCGGGAGGTAGTGTTTCCACATCCCTAACAGCATACAATACACAAGCACAGAAAGGACAACGCAGTGTATCAGGGCTGGTCATGGCGCGTCGCCACGACCAGCCGCAAGCGATTTTTGGGTATACATGGGCAAATCCACGTGACAACCCGCAGATAATTAAAGGGATGACGTCCAGCCAATGGACCGGACGTCAAAGCGTGCAGCGTGCGAGGGGAGATGACCAAGCGGTCAGATCCCCTCTAAAAAAAACAACGACTAATACCCATGTCTGGGCACTCATGGTAGCTGCGGAGTTATGAGTGTCTATGCCCGTGACCGGGCGAAATTAACCACGCTGTAGGTATGCATGCCCGTGTCCTGGCAAGACTAACTTCTTGTCTGAGTTTGACTTGTCGTCCGCATTGGTAACCGCTGGCCCTGAGTTGGGCGCCCCTATGTTGGTGCTGCGCCTGAACTGCCTTGATCGGGCATGTACTTCTTTACTTCGTACTTGAAGGACCGATTGCCCTCCATCACTTGCAACAGTCACGCACGATGGATACACCCCTTGGCATGGCCGCCAGCGGTCATGTCTCGTGTAACGCCCCACTGGGCGCTATGAACGACACTTCGGCCCGTCATTTGTCTCATCCAGCTGGTGTGTCCCAGCAGGGTACATCCGGTCGGCTTCTTCAGATCCTTACTTGCCAAAGGATTGAAGACCGTTTCAGCGTCTATGGTAAGGATGGCCTTAATGCTAGGACCACCTAACTCCAAAGTGTTCTTCAATTGGGTGGGCGCTAGTGGTCCCGCTTTAAGCTCATGTAGCGTAGCTACGGTAGGGTACCAGCCCTCAAGATTGTGAGCGGCTGTCAGCGTTTCAGATGAGTAGCTGGTACGCACCTGCAAGCGATGTGACATGCAGTATGCATCGATCAGGTGTACTACTACCTTGCCATTGGGCGCGTGTCCGCGCAGCAAAAGAGTGGTCCATCAGATGCCATATCCCTTTTCTTCGTCATCTTCGCCCCCATTAAAGCGACGATAGCCCGAGTCACTGTGAAAGTCCACTTCCACTGTCGGAGCCATTCGAGTATATAGTATGTGTTTGGGATATTGCTGGAGCTTGCGCGTGGCAGCGCTAAGAATTCGTACTTGGAGGTTTGCGGGTTCATGTGCACGTTGTAAGGGTACCACGTATACCACTCACCACATCTGAGTGATTAACTCATACGCCAAGGCGCCACGTAAACGGATGAGCACGTGGGACACGGTTTTCGTTGCCTCCTCTTCCGCTACATCGCTCGTGACTTCTTGCTGTTGTATCGGGCGAAGCTGTTCGATGTATTCGTCCTGATATAGCTGGGCGTGGCCGTCCTCGGTCCTAGTGCACCGCACGGCGCAATTGGTGCAACAATGTTTGTTAACAGTTCGCACGCGCCGAACGTCATTTGACGTACTTGCCAGTAGTGTCCCCCATTCCTGCCATGTTTATGTCATCGACGCGCTTGGCTGTGAGGAGGTGTGGGTTTCTCTCAAATTCTCCATCATACGACGTTGGCTTTACCCCGAATCCCCGCGTGATGGTTCTGAGCTTCGGTGGGAATGCCCTAGGGACGTCTTTGGTGCCTGTGCCTGGCTCAAGGCACTGTAGACAGCGCCTTGGCTCGTCATAGGACGAGACACCGGGCAATGCGCGTAGCACCAAGGCTGAAAGCGGTGGGAGAATAAAGCAAACAATGCGCTCTTCCTCTCTCACGATGGGCCAGACCTTTCAAGAAAGCCTTATCGATGTCCATGGATGCTATGATCCATTGTTTCTTGCGCGCGGCCGCGCTGGCGAGCAAGCTCTGGTTTGGTCGGCGAGCTGTGCCTGAGTAGCCTTCTACGTCGAATGCTTCGACATTCATAAAGCCACGAAGGACAAGGCGTAGTCGCATTGTTAGTTCCGTTTCGCTGTTGTCAGGTTTGACAAACGTCCACTTGTTCCACTTGTTGTACACATATCTAAAAAGGTCATGATATGAGTAGCATCGCTGATGTGTTACAGCTTGACAGATTTGTTACCACACCATAGTTTGAATTCGCTGTACAAAGCTTTGGATTAGTGTGCCGGATTGGTGTGCATTTCTGCCCTCGTCGAGAGGTCGTCTTCCTTGACAGCCGCAGCTCTTTTAGCTGAAGCTGAGAGATATACACGAGTTGTGGCTCCTTGGTCGCAGGCCCGAAAATGTCATCCAGGGCCAGGCCCAACTCACGAGGCCGCGAAAAGCACACCAATAAACTTCTCGGGGCCCTAGAATGTTTTTAGGAGTCCCCAGGCTCGACAGCGTCCTCCAGTGCTGGGCCCCGACCCCTGGGGCTGCGAAAAGCACCAACCTGCATTTCGGTGCCCGAAAATTGTGTCGGGTATCCCCGAGCCCGAAAATGTCCTCCAGGGCTGGGCCCCGACCTTCGGGGATGCGGACAGCACCAAACTTAACTGTTCGGGGCCCGATGTTTTGTCTGGAGGCCCCCAGACCCGAAACCGTCCTCCAGGACTGGGCCAAACCAACGAGGCTGCGAAAAACACCAGAATAAACTTTGCGGGGCCCGAACAAGTCGCGCAAGAGGTTCACCAGCCCGCAGGCGTCCTCCAGGGCTGGGCCCCGACCCCTGGGGCTTGTAAAAGCACCAACACACATGTTGCGGGACTCGAAAAGTGGTTTTGCGTTTCCCCAAGCCCAAACATGGCATCCAGGGCTAGGCCCCGGCCCTGGGGGATGCGAAAAGAAAAGAAAAACAAAAGAAACACAAAAGAAAAACAAAACCAAACAACAAAAAACGGTTCGGGGCCCAGGCATTTTTTTCTGGAGGCTTCCTCGCCCGAAAACGTCCTCCAGCGCTGCGCCCAACCAGCGGGGCTGCGAAAACCAACAACATAAACTGTTCGGGCCCCCAAACAAATGTTGGAGGTCCCAAGGCCCGAAACTGTCATCCAGGGCTGAACCCAGATCCCCAGGGCTGCGGAAAACACCAAAGTACAATTTGCGGGAGAAGAACTCTGTCTTGAGATCCCTGCGAAAGACCTTGGGGCGAACGCAGCATCCTCGCCAAGAGGCGAAGCAGGGGCGCAGATAAGCGCATGCCCGAACACATGCAAACACAAGACGAACACTGAGACTACAGCCGAACAGTACGAACACATGCCGAACCCGGTGAGTAGCCGCGATTCGTCGAACAACGGTCCGAACAAATGACTGCTTCGCCGAACCCAACAATCGCAGAGATTAGCCGAACAAGCGATGAACGAACACATGTGCCCAGCAAAACCGAGCAAGTGATTGGGACATGCTGCGGGGCCGGGATGGAGCTGACGATGACGGCATGCGAACCCTTCCTCTCGGCGCTCCGGGGTCCCGTAAGGGTCTAGAAACAGCGCCCCCTCGGCGCGAACGAGAGGTCGTGGGCAGGGGCGCAACCATATCCACGGCCTCTCGGCGCCCCGGGGTCCCTTTCCCTAGGGCGGGCCCCTCTGGTCTAGTAACGGCGCCCTATCGGCGCGAACGAGAGGTCGTGGGCAGGGGCGCAACCATATCCACGGCCTCTCGGCGCAGGAGGCACCTCCATGGGCCACTCGAAATAAAGAGGCGTCGACGACGTTGCACGCGAAGACTCTCGCTGGCTGGGCGGTTGTGGCTTCGACGACGGCTCGTTCCCATGTGCGCGTGTTTTCCGCAAACAGCATGGTAGTTCCGAAGCTTCCGCCTCGCGACAAGGCGACGTAAAGTTGCCCGTGCGCGAACGCCGGGCTCGGGAGATAGATGCCCAGGCGCCCCTGCAAGGATTGCCCCTGCGACTTGTGCGTTGCGATCGCCCGGGCAGGCTTCACTGGGAACTGGCGGCGTCTCAGCGCAAAAGGCAACTCGCAGTCGCCGCAAGAATCGCAAGTGATCCGCGGCATCAGCTCAACATTGCCAGCGAAAGGGCCCGCGACGATGCGGCAGACGAGGAAATAAGAACGCCTCCGTTCGACGACGAGACGGGCGCCGTTACAGGGGCCTCGGCGCGGCGCAGAATTTCGCAGGAGGATGGCGAGAGAGCCATGGCGCAAGCGCAGCTCGTGAGGAGGTAAGCCAGCAGTCTGGATACCGCGCAAGAACTCCGGCGTGCAGGTGTCCCCGCGGTCGACTTCGGCGCAAGCGGCGTCGCGGCTGCGGGGCGCGAGTTCGGCGTCCGCGGGCAGTCTCTCGCGCGCGAGGCCATCGAGGTAATCCGCAGCTTCGTTCGTCGGCGTGACAGCGGCGCGAGCGGCATAGCACTGGTGCCACTGAGCGGGGGCGGCCTGGTCGAATCCCTCGTAAACCCAGTCCATCATGGCCGGCGGTGCCCAGTCGGGGGGCGCGAGAACGTCAAGAGGGGCGTCGACGCGGGGGGGCGGGGGGCCGTCGCAGTCGCCGCCTCCCACGCGTAAACAAAAGGCTGCGAACGCATAGTCGAGGTCCGCGCGCGCGCTGCGACGCAGGCGAAATTTTCGCACATGGGGCGAATCCCACCAAGGCAGGGCGGCCAAGGTGTGGCTGAACACAGCGTCTCGTCCGATGCACCGAAGCACGGGCGGGGCTTGTCGAAAGTCGCCGCCGAGCGCGACAGCCTTCCCCCCAAAAGGCCGTTGGTCGTGGAAGCGTTCCCGGAGGCAAGAGTCGACAGCTTCGAACATGGCACGGGATGCTGTGGAGGCTTCGTCCCAAATAATGACGGCTGCATCTCGTATAAGCCGTGCTGCAGCATATTGAGGCTTCACGTTGGCCTTGTATCCTTCCAAGGGAATAGGAACAGGCAACCGGGAATGCGCCGTCCGACCGCCAGGGAGTAGCAAAGCGGCGACGCCGGACATCGCGACTGCAAGTGCGACACGGCCGGTCATGCGTACGTAGTGGAGGATTTGCTTGTACACATGCGTCTCGCCCCTTCCTGCAGGGCCGTCGATGTAGGTCACGTCCGCAGCAGCGTCGCCCTTGCAGCCGTCGACGCGATCACGCGCGAAGTCGAAGATGGCCTGTTGATCGTCGTTCAGAGAAAGGCTGTCGAACGCATCCATTTCTTTGCAGATCTCTTCTGGTGAACGCAGCTCTCTGGCATACTCTTGGGCGGCGCGCTCCGCAGGCGGAAATGCAGCATTGGGCGACGGCGGTGGCACGGCGAAATCCGACATGAAGCACCCGCGCATGGCCAAGTGTTCGCCCACGGCTCGGTAGGCGGTCGAGGAATCCGTCGTCTGATGGCGTTCACTTAGGAGCAGGAGGAAGGACGTCCAAAAAGCAGCTTTATCGTTGATGCCCATCCACACCAGGAATTGCGCAAACATCTCGCAGATGCGTGAGAGGCTTCGAACGATGCGGCATGCCTCTGTCAATGCGTTGAGAGCTTCGGCGTCGTCTGCAAGAAGCCCAAGCAGTCGCGCGTGGCCCTGGAAGGACGGCGGCGCGCGGTCGTCGGTGGATCGAGCCAGGTGTTCCCACGAGGTTGCTTCGCTGCCTGAGACGCTCCGCAAGAGCAGCCGCAAATAGTACTGCTCGCCTGCTTGGGGCTTCACATCCGCGAGCCAACTGTTGCTGGCATGACCTGTGTGAACTGTGGTTTGCACTGGGTGGCGTGTGCGCCGATGCACACGGCTCAGCAGGTCGTGCAGAGCCTCAGGACATCGAATTGCATGGCGCACGCGGAACGTGCTCCGGACACCTCGTTCCGGAGCACGTGCCGCGTGTGCAACAGGCGCGACGACATGGCGGGTGCGTGCCAATGGTGCGGCGGACATGGCGGAAGCCACAATGGATATGACATGCGGCCGATGACAGCGTCCCCTCTCGCTCGACGTCTGCGTCTGACCCACTGCGTGCGTTTCGAGTCCCACCTGAAGTGCCGCGACAGCTGAGGGTATCTCGTGGCGAGGATGAGGTTGCGGTCTGGCAGATCAGGATTTGAGGAGGTTTCGGCGCTGACCGCAAGCCATATTTCGAGTTTTGTCCTTCTTGCCAAGGCGGCGCTCGCGGCTGCCATCTCTCGCCCGCTGCGGAACTGCACGCCCTGTTCCAGAGGAAGATGCACAGGCAACCGCTCGACTTGGTGGCTGCGGCCGTGCATAGGGAAGCCCATGAGGCGCCAGGAAACTTCGGGGGTTCCCACGTACCTGCAATCGAAGAACATGGACCTCGTTGCGCGCATGCTCCAAGCAGGCTCGATCAGGTCCTCTATAAGTGTATTTACAGAGGTACTTGATTGGGCGCAGCGAGGTGCAGACTTCCACGTTTATGTGGCAATCCATGAGTTCCAACAGGTAGGCGTTGTAGGGGACCTATCTAATATCCCATTCTTGACTGTGTGGAATGGATGCGTTTCTCTGCGTCGGTACTCCGGGTATCCATTCACGTTCACGTTGGTCACGGGCCGGAATCGTTTCGGGTATCGTTTCGTGCAGAGGCCGTCCTTCATACAAGGACACAGAGGGTTGAAGGCTCCGCAGTTTCCGTGTACCGTGTGGCGCTCCACGAGCTCGTACAGCTTAGGATGCAGCGTTGGGTCCGGAATCTCGGCAGACACGACTTGATCAACATCGGCCGACGTACGAGGCTTGTCAGCCTCTGCGAGGATCACCAGGATGTGCGCGTGGCAGCCCGCGCTTTTGGAATTCGACGACCCATGTGAACGCAACCGTTTTTCCTAGCACATGCTTCACGGTTAGCTCACGCAGTAGCCGCTTCATCTTGCAATGGAAAACACGGGCAACCAGATCTGGTCTGTTGGCAGCTGTTTCGCTTGGGCGCAGGTTGGTTTTAATATCCTTCCAATGTGGGTTTGCCGTTGCCGCGATGAAGAGATCTGGCCGCCCTTTCGCTGCGACGAGGGCCATGGCGTCGAGGTAAAGTTGGTGCAGCGCTCGTGGCGAACCTCCGAATGAGGCTGGCAGGACCACGGGCGTGCCAACGAGTGGGCGCGGAACGGCGTTCTGCGACCAGCCGTCAGTGGGGAGCGGTGGGACGGCGGCTGGAAGTGGCACGGCATCGTGTTCGTGGCTCAGGCGCCTCGGGTCATCCTGGGGAGGATGCGGAGGTTTCAACCTTGAACGGCCCGCCCCGGGCGCCCCCCCTTGACCGCTTCCCGCGGCCGGGGGGGCGCCTCGGGTCACCCTGGGGAGAATGCGGAGATTTCAACCTTGAACGGCCCGCTCCAATCGCCCCCCCTTGACCGCTTCCCGCGGCCGGGGGGGGGCGCCTCGGGTCACTCTGGCCGCCCTGGGCGCGCCCCCTTGACCGCTTCCCGCGGCCGGGGGGGCGTGTCAACCTTGAAGCCCGCCCCGGTCGACCCCCCTTGACCGCTTCCCGCGGCCAGGGGGGCGCCTCGGGTCATCCTGGGGAGGATGCGGAGGTTTCAACCTCTGCCCGCCCGGGCGCCCCCCCTTGACCGCTTCCCGCGGCCGGGGGGGGGCGCTTCGGGTCACCCTGAAGAAGATGCGGAAATTTCAACCTTGAACGGCGCGCATCGGGCGCCCTCCCTTGACCGCTTCCCGCGGCTGTGGGGGCGCCTCGGGTTACCCTGGGGGAGTGCGGAAGTTTCAACCATGAGCGGTACGCCCCTGGCGGCAATATTGGCCTCGAGAAACCCGCTTCGGCTTGGGGCTCACGGAAGCACAATAAGTGGGGTCGGAAATCGGGGAGAGTGTCACGCTGCCGCCGTCGGCGCCGCCGTCGCGGCCGCCGTCGCCGGTGTCGTCGTCCTATGCCAAGTTGCGCCGGACCCTCGAGGATGGAGGAGCGTCTGGGGGCTTTGTGGGAATGGGACGGATTGTGCCTCTTCCAATTCACGTGGGAGGTTTCGAGGAGCCCCCTTGGATTCTTTGGGTGGCCTCGTCATCGTCGCCGTCGCCGCGGTCTTTGGGTGGCCTCGTCATCGTCGCCGTCGCCGCGGTCGCTGTCGTCGTTGTCGTCATCGGGTTGTTTTGGAGAGTGCGTTTTCGGGGTCTTCAGGGTTTGTTGGGTACCTGTTGGACTTTCTTGGCATGCGTATCGGGCGCATCTTGAAATAGTTTTGAGGCCTCTCGGGCCTCTTGGGGGGAGGAAGGAGACGGGAGCAGGGGGGAGCAGGAGCAGGAGCAGCAAGAGGACGGCGAGGTGACGAAGGAGGAGGAGGAGGTGGAGGAGGAGGGGGAAGAAGAGAAGGAGGCACAAAGGAGGAGGAGAAGGTCGAGGTGGGGGAGCAGGAAACATCATATTGACGTGCTCCAGAACGGTCCGTCCGGAGCACGTCAGAACATGGCATCACAGCAAGCGTGCGCGGAGGGCATGATCTACCTCCTCCTCCTCCTCCTCCTCCTCCTCCTCCTCCTCCTTACTCCTCCCTGCTCCCTCCCTCTTCCTCCCTCCCACTCTTTCCTCCTCGCTCCGACCTCCTGCCTCTTCCTCTTTCCTAACTGCTCCTTTTCCGGCGCCCCCCTCTTTCTCCTCTTCCTCCATTGTTTCCTCCTCGTCCTCGTCCTCCTCCGCGGGCAGCCGCAAGCACGCGGGGGCCTGCTCTCCCTCGCCGAGCTGGGGCCGCTCCTGGAGCCGTCTTGGGGCTCTCGTGGGCTGGCCTGGGACTTGTAGGAGGCCTCGGGGGAAGGGTCTTGGAGCTCTGTCCGAAGGCCTTCAAGAGGTCTGGGGCCTTCGCTGCGGCCTCCGATGGGGGGACCTCGAAACGCTGTAGAAACACAGGGAAAATGAGATCTGGCAGCCGCTCCCGGAGCCGTCTCGGGGTCTTTGGCTGGCCTGGGACCTGCAAGATGCCTCCGGGGAATGGTCCTGGAGTGGTCTCCAAAGGTCATCAAGAGGTCTGTGGCCGTCTCTGCGGCCTCCGAGGCACAGGACGCCAAAATGGTGTAAAAACACAAGGAAAATGTAAGCTGGGAGCTGCTCTCGGAGCCGTCTTGGGGCGCTCATTGGCTGGCTCGGGACCTGTAGGGGGCGTCTTGAAGAGGTAGGAGGCCGTCGCTGCGGCCTCCGAGGCCCGGGACGCCGAAACAATTTAAACATACAAGGAAAATGAGAGCTGGCAGCCGCCTCTGGAGCCGTCTTGGGGCTTTCTTCGGCTGGCCTGGGAGCTGCATGGGGCCTCTGCTGAAGGATCTTAGAATTGTCTCCGAAGGTCTTGAAGAGGTCTGGGGCCGTCGCTGCGGTCCCCGAGGCCTGGGACGCCGAAACCTTGTAAAAAACAGGAAAAACGGACCTCGATCCCCCCATGGAGGGTTGCGGCGCCGGCCAGAGAGGCCCCCGGCCCTGTGGCCTGGTATATATATATATATATATATATATATATACATACATACATATACGCATACATACATACATACATACATGCATACATACATACATGCATGCATGCATACATACATACATACATACATACATACATACATACATACATACATGCATGCATGCATGCATACATACATACATACATACATACATACATACACACATACATACATACATACATACATGCATACATATATATATATATACACATATATATGTATATACGTATATAAGCAAAACATTAGGAGAGGGAGAGAGAGAGAGAGGGAGAGAACGAATGAGACAACACTGAATAAACGTAAACTGTCGGAGTTTCGCGTGGATTTCCTGGTCGGCGCCAAAGGCGCCGCCAGGAGGGCCTGGCGCCGATTCGAGAAATCCACGCGGACCCTCGAAAGCTTACATGTATGCTTTTTTCTCCTTCGAGGGGACAGAGGGGGAGGGAGAGAGAGGGAGGCGCCACGCGCGCCGCGCGCGCTCGTTCCGCAGCCTCGCGCGCGTGGGGGCAGGGCCCGCGCGGGGGGCCGAAAATCTCCTTAGGAGGACCTGGCCAGTGCAGTGCCGACGACGTAGTACCTCTGCTCGGGGGGCGCCATCTGACCACGGGCAGGCCCGAAGTCTAGGCCCCATAACCCGCGACGCGCGAAGCGCGATAATCGTTGCGACCCCGCGGGTGACCAAGAAAAAAGGACACGACGCCCGATAGCAATTGTTGCCTAGAGCGTGTTTTTTTTACTTTCGGCGGGCGTTCTGGGGGGGGGCGGGGGGGGGTATAACGTAACGCCCCCCCCGCCGCCCCGCGTGTGGTTCCAGCACCACAGGAGCTCGTTTTTGCCAATTTCCGGGATAGCGGCCGTCATCGGCCCCGCCCCCCCCCCCACCAGAAGACGTCACGTTCCGCGCCGGCGGCGTCCAGGAATCCTAGAGATGACCAGGGCTAACTCGGAGCAGCATATAGGCGGCGATTTGCCCCACAGCCCCTGTGTACACCACAATGCTCGCGTGCACCACACCGCGCGTGTACACCACACCGCCTGCGTACACCGCAACAGCCGTGTGCAACGCAGCGCACGTGTACACCACAGTGCTTGCGTGCATCACAGCGCCGGTGTACACCACAGCGAATGTGCGAATGTGTACACCGCAGCAACCATGTGCGACACAGCGCCTGTGTAAACCACAACGCTTGCGTGCCCGCAGCGCCTGTGCACACCAAAGCGCTTGTCTACACCA